GGCTTTTTGGGATTACAGAGTTGGTAGGGGTAATTTTTACTTTAGGATTTTAGACATTAGAGAGTTTAGAAGGATTTGAAGGCAAGATTTATAAACCCACAACTTTAGAAAATTTCAGAAAAACGTCTTCGTGGTATTAACATGTAATGGATTTATTTTACAGAAAGTTTGTGATGAATTTTTTACTTTTTGGAGAATTTTTGGAAGAACAATGAAAACATAATATTTAAATGTTTTATTTCTGATACTAGAAGTCTTTTTTTTTTTTTTTTTTTTTTTTTTTTTTTTTTTTTTAACATGTTTATCTTTCATTTGTTTTCTCAACTTTTCACTAGACACAAGCATGGAAAATGTCAAAAATGCTTCTAATCTTATCAGATGGACAGGCATTTGTAGAAAGTTTCTGTTTATTATTATTCCTGTTTATAAAGAAATTGAAATCTGACAATTTAAAAGATTCATCTTATATGTCTCAATGTGTCATATGCACTAGGCATTTTCCCACTTGATGCAATCTATGTGAATCCTAAATTCTGTTATATAATGCCTTCCTAAATTCTGCTATTGATGCCTGTTTTAAATTCTAAAAGTTTTGCCATGTCTAGATTTTTGATACGAAATGAACCTGCAATCTTATTAATAGCTTAAATCGCATTGTCACAAATAAATGGAACCTGAAAGGGAAACTTTTGAAAGAACTCTATCTGTGGGGCATTGAAAGGATGATCCTTTACAGCTCCCCATCTGGATGACTGCGCAGTAAGGGTTCATCAGAAGCTACTCCAAATTCAACGCATCACCCTTCTCAAGATCACTAAGTGTTTCACTACCACATCTACAGTAGCTCTTCAAATCCTAGCATGGGTTCTCCCTTTAGACCTCAAAGCAGAGATTGAATGTGGCACTTACAGGGTAGTTCATTTTAAGGACCCCCATTCATAGACCAGTGCTCCTTAGAACCACGATGCAACTATACTCCCATCCACCCAACTCTCACAAAAGATCTAAAATGACTTAAACATCTACTAAAAGGACAGGACTTAGAAGTCTTCTGATAGCTCTAAAGTTTCAGAGCAAGTAGGTGCAGCCTATGTTGCTTTCCTTAACAATACAGAAATTCCCTTAGCACGATTCAGACTTAGCGACCACACCTCAGTTTTCCAGGCTGAGTCCTTCGCTTTAAAGAAGGCAACTGTCTGGGCGGGCAACACCAATTTTCCATCCATCAACCTCTACGTTAACAGCATAAGCGTCCTACAGGCCTTAAGCAAGAACAGCATGCAAACCTTCCACATCTTCTGATTAAAAGAAATGCTTATTACCCTGTCTTCTTCCAGACAAGTGTCTCTATGCTAGGTATGTAGTCATCAAGGTATCCAACATAACAAAAGGGTCGACTCTTTAGCTAAAGAAGCTACAAATCACACTTCCATCAACTCGGATATCTCACTGTCCATAGTCACTGGCAAACACAAGATCTTCTGCACCTTCATGTCCATTTGGCAGCTCACTGGGGCGACTCGGACACCGGTCGACACACCTATTCAGTCTTTCCCATGGTTTCCACCAAGAGGCTCAAAACAGACTTCTATCTACAACAGTCAATTCACAAATAACGGAAGATTTTAGGCGTATCTCGGCAGGTTTTGCCATCAAAACGTCAAATGCGCCTGCGGTTCCTCAGCTTGTTCAGCAGATGTCTCACATTACATCTACAACTGTCCACTCACTTCTCCCATCAGAGCCTCCCTTCCTCAGCTCCAGGGATCACATAGCCTCAAAGACCTTCTTCAGGATTACTACAGACAATGAGGCATCAGAACCATCATAAAGTATGTCTATTCTAAGATAAACATAATCATAACAGATAACCAGGTCTAGGTACCTGACGAAGGCAGCAAGCCTTCATTCATGTATATATGTAAATATTAATTCAGAAGTCAAACAACAAAAATCAGCATTATATTTTTAAAATTTTCACAGGACTAGTTTTGATGGTTTTACCGAACCACCATCCTCAGCTGCAAAACTGAGGAAATAATGATTAGATAAGATAAGAAAGTCTGGACAAAAATAAGCAAGTGGCGCCATCTGTTGGGGAAACCGAAGGCCTTTAAAGAAATTATGTTTTAGTTCTGGTTTCACCAACAGATGGCGCTACTTGCTTATTCTTGTCCATGCTTTCTTATCTTATCTAATCATTATTTCCTATCTTGTTCATTTGCAGTTTTGCAGCTGAGGATGGTGGTTCGGTAAAACCATCTAAACTAGTCCTGTGAAAATTTTGAAAATATAACGCTGATTTTTGTTGTTTGACTTCTGAATTAGTATTTATTCGGCGTGTTATTGTGTCTTAACATGTAAATATCTCTAAACTAACTAACCCTTTTTGCTAATCTCGTACTAACATACACAAAACATTGCAAGTTGGAGCACCCAACAAAAGTAATACACTAATGTTAAATCTTTTTATTAATAATAAGGCTGAAAAGATAAACAACCAAATAAAGGTTGCTGGTGCAACAATCAGGATAACATGACTGACCTGTAATGCCCATTGAGAGGTGAAGCAGGTGGAATAATAATAAATAAATGTCTAGATTTTTGTAACTTGACATGTCATTAAATTAAAAAAAATTCTGCCACACTGTCTCTGTAACCAGTCATTTCATATTTATTCTGAATATTCTTATTACTAAAGAAATAAAATTAGCAGCTTTTTTTATACATTCCAAATGCATTTAGTTTTTTAGAATAGCAGAAATCTTTAATTAAATCCAAAATGGAAAGGAAATGTATTGAAGAAAGAAACTGAATACATAAAGAGAAAAACTATTCTTCAAAAATATGTGTAGTTATTTATTATGTAAATTAACCAGTTTATAATTTCAGGCTTTACTATAACTTCTGCTTTCTTTTTCCTCACCAGAATGCAAAACATTTGGATAGTTTTTAAACTGAGGTTTTTGGAATGTAAGATGATGTGTTTCTGGCCATCGCTTGCATGCTGCATTGGTTCCTGCCAGCTCTGATAATTTGTAATTATTCGTCTTTGAGTTTGTTACGACATTTGAGTTTGTTACGACAATAGAGTTACTGAACGAGCTTATAGTAAAATTAAATTGTATAGTCTTTAAACTACTAGTCTTCATTTTTAGTTTGAATTTAATTGTTTATGTTTAATTACATCACCACAAGCTGTAGTTGATTTTGCTAGCATAAGAATATGCCTTTATGTTCTAAATTCTTTTTAAATAAAAAGAAGTTTATTTAAACCTTTATCTGATTTTGTAATTACTTTCAGATGTAGCAATGATTTGCTTCACATCTCTCAGGAATTTTGGACTATTTAACTTTTACCAGATCAAGTGAAACCTCATGTTGAGAGATTGATAGGTTAGGAGATGAAGCATGCAGAAACTAGCAGGAACACTGGTTTCTGCATGCACTGGGTTGCACTGGTTTCTGCATTGAAACAAATTTCTAACTGTTAGAAAAGCTGTTTAAAAAGAAGGAAATGGATATAAATTAGCCAAAATGTTTGGGAAGACATCAAATTAAAATGCCATGTAAATATTTTGTTGAGTGTTGTTGTTAAATATAATAAATATTTTGTGACGTTTAATGTGTAATTATCCTAATATGGTTTAAGAATCAATGTCATAAATTAAAAGTATTTTAAACTGTGATTTTAATAGTGCTTTTGGTACTCTTATGTTATCAGGACTGGTTTCAGAAATGTATATATGTAAGCATGTCTTTATGCATGTATATGAGTATATATGTGTGTGTGCACACATACATACTTAAAAGAAAAAAAGAATCATAGTTAATAGATTTAAGTGTCTACTTTTATAAATATATGCATATACACACACATTTCTGAATCTGTTCCTGATAACAGAAGAGTACCGTGCTTTTTTAAAAATTAATAAAATTTAATAGTGGCCATGTAAATCTATAATAACTAAGACTACCTAAATACTTAATTTTTTGTTACTAACTGGTCACCCTTAAAAGTTATCTCTCCATATTAAAGTGAATTATTGCCTTTCATTAATCCTTACCATGGTTACAAGATACCGTACAAAAATGTAAAACTTATTCTTTCCATCTAGTGAGACCTAAAACAAAACAACTTATCACCTCTGGTACTTGAGTGGCTTACTAGAACCTTTAAATATGTTAACAAGATTACAACCCCAGAAACTGTACACAAAGCTATGACACTAACTGCATTAGGCAGACAGAGCACAACTAACTTTAAAAACCTGCAAGCTGTGCCTGCATCAGGCTTTCTGGTTTGTTCTGATCAGCAGGTCTCTCTCTAGGCAAGTACCAGCAGTGGCAACGGCCAGGCTTCTGTTACAAATCATGCTGAGTATGATTTTACTTTTCATTTTAAACCTATACTGTTTGACATAAAATCTACCTATTTACTAAACCTTTGAGCAAGTATGTGACAAAATGAGACATAAAAGAAAAAATCAACATAAAGCTGTTAGTAAAACATAAATAAAATGTCACTAATCTTCTTTCAAATATATCCATCTACTATAAGTATAAAATATTTAATGCTACTTGATAAATTTTAAGTTGATTTTATTCTCAAATTTGTTTTATAATTAGATTTATTAAATTATGTTTACCAATAATGCTTCCTACTTACAGGTCTAATTTATTCTTAGGATCATATTGCAGAAGTTCAGGCATAATATTTTTAACTGAATAGCGATAACATTTTCTGATAAGAACGTATCAGCAAATGAATAATATTTTCTGATAGGTCCTCAATTTTTTTCATTAATGGTCCTTAAAAGCCCTTAAATGTACTTAATTTCAATGTGCAGAAATGTATATGAATCTTGATTATCTTTTGCATCCTTAATATTAATAATATTTTGCACTGTGGTAGTTTTTGTGTGGTGATCTGATTTGGTAACTTTTCGTATGTACATTTAGTTCAATATTTAATACTTTCAATGCTTTTTTCCTCCTAGTATTGGATAAATAGTTATACATCTCCATTTGGAATTGGAGTTTTTCATTCAGGTGTACAAGTTTATGAATCAGGTAAATTGAAATGTAAAATTTATTTCTTTGAATTTTAATCTTATATCTAATGTATTTAATTTAAAGTAATTTATTAATTTTTATTCTTTAAATGTCATTAATAAAATCTTTTTCATACTTTTTGCAGTTTACTAATGTTTTACAACTTAAATTTTTAGATAAATTTTCACAAAGTAGCAGCAATAATAATAATAATAATAATAAATATGTGGAAAATACAAAAAAAAGTATGTGTATGTATTCATAATTCAAATTGTCCAGTTTAATCAAAACACCTATAAAATGCTGAATGATTTCTTTTAATCTTTTTGCAGTGTTGTATACTATGAGAATTAAATATCAAAATAACGTTGTGGTATATATAGTGATATATAACTGTAAAATGTTTCCCGCATTTTAATCATTGGAATACTTGCATGTATGTATTAATTATGAATCATGTACAGAATGTTCTTTTATTAATAAATTAAATTTTGGACTAAAATATGTTGTTTTCATTGTTTCTGTATCTTAACAGTAGCTTTTAATTGATTTTAGTTTATTTAATAATGCCTTTAATTCTGCTAATCCTATGTATGTTAAACCACTACTATTTGAATGGATAAAAATAACCCAGCTATTTGAGATTTTTAATGTTGTTCTCATGATAAATATAAGATTCATCTCTTTAGAAAAACTTACACAAAAGTTACTGTTATTTAAGATACTTGTGTCTGTTAAGTTATGATGTAAATAGCCAATCCTGCTTGAGATTAAATCCTCTGAAGCTTATATTTTAATAGTGAGTATATATACAGAGATGTTAAAATTAAGCACAGGATACATTTTCACATGTAACATTACCCAGCAGTGGTACAAAGCATACTGCATTATCTAGCTGTAAGACTGTCAGCCGGATGACTAATGATGTCTAAGAATGGAATGCAAAGGACCTTTATTTAAAAATGGGCTCTTATCACAGAAACATCAATGTGACAGGTGACAGGCAAGTAAATGCAGTCTTCAGGAGAATTTGTGATCACTTTTGGCTGCACTACAATATTTAATTGATCTATTCCTGCCTGATATGAAATTAATAGATTTCATGAGACATTACGGCACCAATCACATCTTTTTGTAGTGAAAATCACCGCTGTGGATTCATTGGTGGTGGCATGCTGCCAAGGCTCTACCGAGAAGGTCCCACATATATTCAAGTGGATTTAGGCCATGTGGACCAATCCATGTATCTGCACTCTACAACAGCCCATTGACAATCACTATACAAGGAATGCAGTGTTATTGTCTACTAAAAGGAACCTGGAACCTACAACATTACTGAAAAGATACATGTGATGAAAGTACAGTAGTAATTACTAGAGACTGTAACTTCCTTGGGAGATGTGAAGTTCTCTACAGCCAATTTTGAACAGTGCTAGAGGGTAATTACATGTCTCCTGCTCTTTCCAAGTTTTAATTGTTCACAGTCACTGGTAAAACTAAATTTTTGAATTCCCAATCTTTGAAGGAAGAGACCAGTGCCATTTAGCAGATGCTCACTAATAATGGGCAAAAGTTTTGGTCCTATTACTTTTCATTAATGGAGGGTTCACTTATATATTGATGAAAGTAATATAAATTTTAAAGATTGAAGGGATGAAGTAAAATCTTTATATTATTCTTTTTCTTCCCCTCCAGTATAAAATATATGATCTATTAACTATGCAATCTAATATAAATACAGAACTAAATAATATTCTTTACACTGGATAATGATTAAATACTTTAAATATTTAATCTTATCTCTATTATATGTATGTAAAATTCCCTTTTTCTGCTGGTCTTTTATTTTCTTAGTTTTAAGAGCACATTGATTTGGCAGTTATAAAATTTGTATGTATCTTGATTTGTTTTTTTAGAATTTGCTTATGGAGGACACCCTTTCAATACTTCTGGAATTTTTGAAATTCTTCCAAGAGATGCTGCAGATTTAGGAGATCATTTCAGATTCAAGTATGTTAGTGCTTGATGTAGATATGAATTTATAAATATTTAGCTTCTATTTAAATGTTTTCATAGTCTTCTTGAATGATGTTAACTTATATCTTAGGAAATTATGCATCTTTTCATATTTATTCACTCTGTTTAAATATCTAGACTTAACTATAAGGGGCTATCAAAAAGTTCTAACTCAAGTGCTGTATGTTAAAGATAAAAAAAAAAAAAAAAAAAAAGGTATCAGTCGAGGCAGTTCTGTACATATGAAGGCAAGTTTAAAATATATGTTTTGAATTATGAATATCCTGTGAGTGTTTTGTTTATCAAGTATTCAAAAATGCATTGTTGATAAATAAATATGGGTTAATTCAAGACTAGGTAATATCTATTTCAAATTATTTGTCAACAGTTTTGGAGATAGAACAACATACCCTTAAACTTTATGGAAAATATTATGACCATAATCACACAGTAGCCAGCTTCTTAAAGTAAATTTTCAGCTATCAAATTCTTCACTTGTACTATAGGTCTGTGCTTTTTCAATAAGAGTTTTTGTACATTATCAGGAAAAGTATGAAAATAATAATGCATCTGGAAGTCTGCAGTTGTGAAATAAGAATAGTACATTTTAAAAACTTTTCAGTAGGCTGCAGAAGATTTTGAGGGCCGTATGTTGCTTGTGTGCTTCCAATTAAAAAATATTCTTTTAAACTCATTGTATTATTTTTATAATAAAAATAAGAATTAGAGATGAATAATTCTAATAATAATTTCATCACCAGTTGCAGTTCTTATCATTGTTAAAAAAAATAATAATTGGAGCTGTTGTAAATGGAAGAATTAGTAGTCATTCTGCCCCGGTCCCCGCCCCCTAAAAAAGAATTGAGGAAAAAATGAAGGAGTAACTACTGCAGCCATAACCTCATTGATTTTTTCATAGAAATAATTAACAATATCTCCTCCATAAAGCATGTAAAGTTGTTTGTAGATCACCAGTTTTATTTCTTACCAGCTATGAGTTATTTTGCATATTAAACATGCATTCCATAATTTATATTTCCAATAAATATGTATGAATTTCTGTTCTTGTAATTTTAGGGAATCAATTATGATGGGCTATACTGATTTTACGGAGTCTGAAGTAAGGGCTATTATTGAAGAACTAGGGAAAGATTTTAAAGGAGAAAGCTACCACTTAATGAGCAAAAACTGCAATAACTTTTCTGGGAGCTTAACACAGGTACACAAAGTTGTAAAAATATATATATAATACGTGAAATCATCTTTTTATATAAATGGTGAAAGTATGTTTGCTAAGTTTAACATAATGTTATATTAAGTTTTGTATTTTTATTTTTGATATTTTGTATAAAAACATCATGCAGATTATTTCACTGCAAGCTAAAATCTTTTACTCATTCTACCAGATTTATTCTATAAATTTTAAGCGGATAACAATGTGTTTTATACAGTTTATTTTCCAATACAACCAGAGTAAAGTACAAGAGTTCTGATTTGTTTTATTGTAGTCGTATATTTGATATGTTTCTCATTTTCATTGCAATGTATTTTATAGTATTATATATAATACAGTACAAAGTCGGTAATCCGGACTCATTGGGACTTTGGTGATTCCGGATTAGGGGTTTTTCCAAATTATAGATCATCAATTTAAATCTAGTAAGATGGCATAGAGAAATTGTACAATTAAAAATATGAAACCGTAATTTATGAAATAAAGAGCAATTAAGATCTAAAGGGTATAAAAAAAGCTAAATATTTATTTGTTTACTTTAGTAAACATTTCTATCAATGTAAGTAGTTTAAGTTGCTTCGTTTTTTGTGCTAATACTTTCCCTTTAATTCCATAAACAGACATAATTTCTTGTTCAGTTACAAAGTTCCACTGTTCAAGACCTGTAGTTGCTGGTCGAGAATACCGACTAAACTTGCTTGTCACTTTATACTTGTCAATCGACATTTTTTAGTTTTCAATAACGTTCTCTGTTACTTTCTTCACTATCAGAAGCGCGCATGGGTAAATGCTTTACTGGCTTTACGCGCATGCGTAGCGGACGCTTGCATCAAACACGCATGCATAAGTTTGTGGCTTTGAGGTCCAGATTATAGATCATTGCGGATAATGGACGTCAGGATTACGGACTTTGTACTCTATATGTAATGATTTAAATACGTAGGAGGAATCCAGGTACTTTAAATGCTGAGAGTCGTGAGGAAGAAGTTGATACGAAACCCAGTTCAGCCAATTAATCATCTTTATTTCAGGCACTCTAGAATAATTCTTCATAGACAATATACAGTATACTCTTTAATCATAACAATTATGATAATTTCTTATATACACAGGTTAATGTAGAGACAAGCTATTATTGGTTAATCTTAGGTTGCTACATAACATAGAAGGCTCTCAAATTTGGGAGAACAGATGAATATAGGGGGAGAGCACCAAATCTAGAACCATTAATTTTGAAATCGCCGATTATTTTTAAAATAGCTATCGTATTTCCTTATATCTTACATGTATTGGTATTCAAAATTTATGCTTTATAGTTCTTTAATTAATTATGTTGATCAAAATTTTATAATTTACGCTTTTCTTCATTCGCTACTGCTTTAACGCTTTTTCTTTAAAAAGGCTTCTCTGTAGTTATGCCTTTTTCTCCTTGAAAGGGGGGATATGCAAGATATAATAAAATACTATAGCTATGTTAAGAAATAATTGGCAACTTCAAAATTAACTATTCTAGATTTGGTGTTTTCCCCCATAAATTCATCTGTTCTCCCAAATTTGAGATCTTTCCAAATTACATAACTCTGCTTGAAAAAGGTAACTAAAAGTAGAACTAACCAATCATACCTTAGATTCACATATGCACCTATGTAGTATAAATTCTGCTTCGTGAGGAACTAGGTTCCTTTTCTTCCTGATTTCTGCTATACAAACAACTCTGCGCTGCTTATGCTTTCCTGCCTGAAATGATGTAGTATCCCTCAACTATACTATATTCAAACTTACTATATTCAAATATGATTGAAATGTAAATTTGTCTGCCAAAGAGATTATTTGATATGTGTAAAAATAAAAATGTTGATTCTTCAATTTAGGTTTGTTAGCTGCTTCATCAAGCCTTCACTCTCAGCCATCACTGTCTTCGAATGCCAGAAATTAAAGTACCGGCTTCATGACTGTGCACTTAAAATATTACATATACAGTACAAAGTCCATAATCCGGACTCTTCGGGACTTCGCCGATTCCGGATTAGGGGTTTTTCCGGATTATAGATCATCAATTTAAATCTGGTAAGATGGCATGCAGAAATAATACAATTAAAAATATGAAATCGTAATTTAGGAAATAAAGAAAAATTATGGTCTCAAGAGTATCAAAATTTACCAAAAAAAAAAAGCTTAATATTTATTTGTTTACTTTATTAAACATTTCTTTCAATGTAAGTTGTTTAAGATGCTTCCACAAAAAATTCAAAAAGTTTCTTTTTCTTGTGTGATATATAGTGGACTTTCCAATGGCATACTTCTCACATAATTTTGAGACAGATAGGCCTTTATCCATTTTTGTAGTAATTCCCCTTTTTGTTTAATGGACATCGAAACATGCTTTCGCTTTGTAGATCCTTTGCCAGCTCCAGAATTGGAAACTCTTTTTGACATAATCGAAAGTTCAAGCTTAATTTTTATAAAATTGTTCTAACAGTCTGCAAAAAGTAATAAGCCGGATCCAATTAGAAGATTAAGGAACAGCATAATCTGCAACATTAACTGAAATGCCTTAGATAATTTTAGCCTAGCTTATACCGTCCGTTATACATTAAATGCATTATGCGTTTATGCATGCACATAAAGTTTGTTGCTTTGAGGTCCGGATTATGGACGTCCGGTTTACAGACTTTGTACTGTATATGTTCTTTGCATTAAAACAGTTTATGTAAAAATATGTGTGTATATATATGTATGTGTGTGTATATATATACACTGCTCGACATTGAAAATGCAACACCAGGAAGGAGTGGTCAGAAATTTATGCAAATTTTAGAGTAAACGCACGTCACTGAGTTATGCAAATGATGTGAAATGCGCAGCTCTCCGACGCACATGAAATAAGATATAAGGGAAGGAACATGCAGAATGGGCAATATTCGTGTCATTGTTTCTGCCAGATGAATTATCGAAGAAAGTTGGTTTTTCGTCCCAGAGGATACGTGTAATAGGAGAGAATGCCAGGCTGCCGTCAATGAAGGCACTTCCAGCAGATAGACGATTTTATGAGGGGTATGGTGATCAGACTGAGAAGGGTGTGTTGGTCCTTACGTCAAATCGCAGCTGATACCCACATGGATACGAGCACGGTGCATTGGCTATGGCGAACATGGTTGGAACAAGGAAATGTGGGAAGAAGAAGAGGTGCAGGTGCAGCCAGAGTGACGTCAGCACGTGTGGATCAACGCATCCGCCGACAAGCTGTGGTGGTCCTGCAAATCACTTGTACCGCGATTCTGCAGCATGTGCAAGATACCCTGGATGTTCCCATGTTGACCAGAACGATTTCGCATCGATTGGTTGAATGTGGCCTGCACTCACGTTGTCCGTTAAGAAGACTGCCATTGACCCCACAGCATACACACCAACGTTTAGAATGGTGGCGGACTGGAGTGATGTGGATGACAGAATGGCGAAACGTTGTGTTCTCAGATGAGTCATGCTTCTGTTTATTCAGTGACAGTTGCCGCATACGTGTGTGGCGTCGACGTGGAGACAGATCTAATCCTTCTCATGGACAGACCAGTGGTGACAGGATGACTTTACCTAGCCCCATTCCAGTTTAGATCGCAAACTCTGTGGCGACTGAAATCAAGGGTCATCCTTCTTTTTCTTCTATCATTCTCTCATGCAGTGTTACCAGATTATGTGATTTTGTGAAATTTTTGTGACCTCTACCATTTTCTTATGCTACTTTTTATGACTTCAAAATTTTTTTAATATATTGTAAAATACTTTACAATTTTACTTTTTTTAATATATTGTACTGTGTGCCCACCTTGTGTAGACACAGAATTATGTACCTTAATATTGATATTCATGAGTTTAGTGCTCTACAAATTTTGTTTTTAAGACAGTCTCCCCCCCCCCACACACACACACACTCAGTTCTATGGTGATAACGAATCGAACAAAAGAACTTGCATCTTGCGCGCCATATATTGGGAAACCCAAACAGAGAAAGAAATAAAATTCATCCTCCTGATTATAATATGGCTAAGAATTAAGGAATAGAAATTACTTAAAAATCAAAGCAACTGCATTTTTCCAAATAACGACACAAATAAATTTAGCAGTGAAAGAACAAACAGCTTTCTTAAGTAATCAGAATCTGAAATAAGTCCACCACCCAGAACGGAAAACTCACTGGATTAAGAAATTAACTGCCAACTCGAAAAAAATTAGTATAAAAGCGCTAAGAATCTAAACGTGAGGAAAATCTATGACAAATTAATTTAAAAACAGAAATCTAAATTAAATGAGAATCAATTACAAAAGGAATGGATATTTAATTTGATTAATGTTGGCTTTCAGACAGGTGGATTTTAAAGTCCTTCATTGCATATAGAGACTATTGGATACATTCTGGCATTACTCAAGGCTTGAATCTAGATCTACTGATCACCAGACAGATGCAGTAACCAGAAATATTAGGTAAAAGATATAATTTGATTCTTTGAAAAGTGAGATTTTTTCCTGGGGTGGGAGGGAAATTCTAATAGCAGATTTTGAAGACAACTTTAGACATAACAAATAAGAGAACTATTTCAACTTTTTTTTAAATGATAGTTTTGTAGTTTTTTTCAAAGAACAAGCGATGCAAAAGTAAGAAATTTTTGTAAAATACCCATTTAATGTAGCTGTGAATATGAATGATTTATTTCACTAGTTGAAAAAATAAGTTTAAATATTAAGGAATTATGCAGAAATACTCATCATACAAGAATTAGAATCTTTTGAAATTTCTGAAAAATGAGAATCAGGTAAAATAAGCTTTTTAGGGTCTTTTTTTGTGTCTGGAGACAGATATGTTGTTTTTTATGAAATACAATGTGTATTTTAATAAAAGAAGTTATCTTTATTAAGTCATGATTAATTTTAATTATCAATTCAAATTTTTATAGTAATTTTTCGTATGAAAATTTTGCACTTTATAGATACTTTGTGGCTCTGATATACCATCATGGGTTAATAGGTTAGCTTACTTTAGCTCCTGTGTACCCTTCCTCCAAAGATGTCTACCTCAAGAATGGTTGACTCCAATTGCACTACAAGCTTCTCTGCGAGATAGCATGGATTATCCCAATGGGACAACTCCACATAGATCAAGCCTTTAAAGGAAGCTATATTGCAAGCATGATACTTTCTGTGATTATGATGTGTTCATTGTATGTGTCTTTCAAATGCTTCATCTCCATTTATGTAGAGTTCTAATTTTGTGTTAAATAAAAAATCATTTTATATGCTGTTAATACAACAGTTTCTTTGTTACTTATTTGCCTATTAAATCTCTTTTCACAAATGCTATAATAACCTAACCAGTTCTAGATATAAAACTTTTGTGTCTGTAGTGTATTGAATCAGCTAAAATATGAAAAAGATTACTTTTTTCTCCACCTTGTAGTAAGTTTAAGATTATAATGTAGGATTAGCCTTTTGACAGCCATTTTCCAATGAGCTAAGTTCACAATCCAGTTATGCACCGCAATGTATGCCAAGCGAACACAGCTTGCATTACAAACCTATGACTGACAGATGCTACGCATATTTGGGAAAAAATAATTGCTTTAATCTGCCAAAGGGTTAAGGGCTAGACTATAGTGGTTGCCTGGGTTATTAAGACAATGAGACTCTAAATTTAAAATTTATAAAAAGCATAATAAATTTAAAATGTAGTATATGTTGATGAAATGAAACCTGTTTTTGGTCAAAATGTGCAAAAGTAATAATTGTATTTAACTACACTATATATAGACATCCTTGATGAATGTCTTACAGCACTTTTTTTTTCCGTAAGTCATAAACAATTGTTTCATTGTTGGATCAATCTACAGATGTCATCCGTGTAAAATTTTAAAGGTTGGATTTCAAATCATTGACAGATGATCACTTTTCTTTCAATATCTGAATGAAACCCATGACTCATAAATGTTGAATCAACCAATGTTCTAGCTAACATGCCATATGCTGCCAACTTCTTTCCTTTATCAACATCATGGTAACTCACTGTGTGCCCACCTTGTGATATTCCAGACATTTCACAATCTTCAGTGCAGTTCCATTATTCATGTCAAATTGATCGACTGTGTATTAACTGCTGAGGCAATTCTATACATGGAATAGCTTCATTCACCTTTGTACAATTATCTTTTGTGTCTATATTATAAACTTGATCAGGACAGGAATAATGATTTGTTTATTCTTGTTCTTCCTTAAACGTTCTGCCCACTAGTGACTGAGTGGTAAAATTGTTGGAACACTCGTAGTTCAGACCTGGGTTCGAATCCAGGGGAATGAGCTGGCTGCATGGGCATTTTTATTACAAAACTGTGTTGGTGCAATTTGGTGATTTTTTAACAGCTGAAAAGGTAAAAGTTACTTATCGGGTGCAGTGATAAATGTCGATAGTTGGCAAAATTTTTCTACAAAGAAATTCCCTAACTATCGGCATTTATTGCAAGATGGCAAACATTATAAACATATCAAAAGAAAGCACACTTTATCAATTTAAAATACAAATTTTAACTATTAAATAAGGATTAAATAATACATAAAAAAATTCATACTTTTCAAGAAATCTTCCCCCCCCCTGCTGTTCTCCTGGTATACATTGCAATATGTTTGGGCTTTAAAAAACACCAGATAATATCACAAACTGGTCATCACATACCGGCTGTCTACCGAATGCTTCTCATCAATGTACTATGAGCAATTTTTGCTTCAAAATACTGCATTCTTGCAGAAATTTTACTGCAGTTTTTTCCACTGCTGGTAAATTCCATAAGTGCATGTTTTAAAATTGAGTTTAAGGCAAAAAATATCAAGATTTGTTTATAAAAACCGTTGGAATTTCAAATACAACAATATGAACTCATATAAAAATGGTGTTATTGCATGACAAGGATTCTACGAGCATGGCTACCATTGTCTGGCACCATTCTGAAAATTCAGCATCTTCTGCTAAGGTATTTGCTATAATACACAAGTATCAAATTGGTTTTTATAATTTTCAATACGTACCAGTTACATTTTATTTGTGTCAATATCTTTTAATTTTGAAAAGTCATGTGATTGGCTGAAATTCCATCACGAAGGGGTATTCGGCACTTTTCTCTAAATGAAAAACAAAATATAATAAGAAGGTTACTTAGGCTTGATAAGTTTTGATTTAAAATTCTGAAAAAATTATATTAGTTCAAAATTTTAACATCAAAGCACAAAGCTCTGAAATTAAAATAAGTAGAATTGGTAATTAGTAAAAGGAACTTAATATGTTGCCATAAAAACTGGTGGCAATAGAAGCAGATAGCTTTTTATTTTGTTAGAAAATGACCCGATACAAGTTACAGATATAGCATGAAATATTGGTCAGAGTTCCTTGAAACTAAGGCAAAGAAAGACCTTATCAGAGTGTTTCAACTTCATGCTTATCTAATATTGGCATTAATCATATTGGTAGGTGGCAACTTTTATTTGCAGAAAAAGGTCCAAAGGAAAATACTTAAAATGCTAGTACGAATTTAATTTTTAAAAAGTTCACTCTAAAAAAGTTATAAATTTAAGATAATATACATTATGAAATATATCAAATGTGGAATACATTATGAAATATATGTATGGAATATATTATGAATGTGGAATACATTATGAAATACATGTATGAATATAGAACATGTATGAAATTTGTAAATAAAAATTACATGTTGAATGATCAGAAATGTTTTCCTGGTACGATTCTAAATAAATAAGTTTTTCGGTTAGATGTTAACAAAGCCCACAAATTCTGCAGTTAGTTCAAATAAACACTTTGACTTCAAGCCACTTTTCCGTGTTTAGGATGAACGGCTTTAATATCTTCTAAACATCAGATAATTTTTACCCACTCGATTTTTCGTAATTCAGTGGCGATAGTCTTAGTAAATTAGTTACAGAAATAAACCTGTAAATTGTTTATTTCTGTAACTGGTTACCGAAACGCAAGCGAGAGCTATGCCCCTAAGCAGAGGTATGTTTCATGGAAAATTTTAAGGGACAATGGCTTATATTAACATTACACAAGGGAAAATGCCTTAATTCAAATCCTATCAAATTATAATTACTCTAGTCTTATTCTCTTGGCTATTGGTGGATCAGCCATAAATGGATGCAATGATATTTTGGTATATGAGTTTTAACAGCTTTTTTTTAGAGTTTGTGTTTGTTCTTAAGTTCATTAATCACTTTCCATGAAACCAACAGATTAAGGTACATTCGCTTGTACAAAGATTTACATATGGGTGACCCCCAACAGTATTTAATTGCTCATTTACCTTTCTGGAGATGGTAGTTACCATCTCCAGAAACCAACAACTGAGAGTTGCCTTGCATGGATCGCTAACACCTGCAAAAACAGACATGCGGTATCCTGCATTAAGACCTGTATTTCTTTATGTTCTCAGAGATGAGACTGATCAGTTAAGGCCACCAGGCACGCTGTAATGTTTCGTGACTAGTAAAGCACCATCTTCAGTTGTATCTAGCCATATTGTATATCGATGTATATTCCTATTAACTTAATATGGTATACTTTTCTTGTATTTTTATATTTTTCTGGCCCTCCTTGGTCGACCTGTGTTATGCCTTTGACGATGAAACGAACCCTCTCCAAGATTTGCCTGCGTAAGCTTTGAAATATTCTCTGATCGGACAACGGCCTCTTGGAAATCGCTCCTGGCGAAGTCTTACCACTTCTGCGGCTTTGCCGTTTGCAGCCTCGTAGTACATAACATGCACATAAGCCTTCTTTCACTTTCGAATATTACTGCATCTCTGGTGACTAATAGCAGCTAAATGAAGGGTTCTGTGAAAAGCGACATTTCATCAGAAAACGTGTATGTAAAAAGAAAGCTTCCATAGACATAATTCACGTCTCCAGATCGGCATGTGTACAGGAAATTGAGGAATACGGTACAAAATCAAAGAACTTATAGGATTGAATCTTTGGCAAAGCATTTCGTGATAATTTAAACTCTTATTTTCGTAAATTTTGTTACTCAAAATAAATTACCCATTAATTAATCTACTTGTGTGGATCGTTGTTTTGATTTACAATGATACGGAGAGGGGGGAAATGGTATCGCAGAACTTCGAACTCTTGACAAACGGGACATTCGACGGCGACTCGACAACTACACGCCATAACAAAAAAATCGACGCACCAAGAAGGGGTTGTCCGATGGAAACAAAAATTGGTGGATAGAAAGATTATGTACAGAATAGAAAATGACTAAAATTTCAGAACAATTGAATGATTTATTTCAGATTTACATAGTTACAAACTAAGTAGCTCAATAAGGTGTTGACCACCTCTAGCCTGGATGCAAGCTGCCACACGGCGTGGCATAGACTGAAAAAGCTCCCGGATGGTCTCTTGCGGTATTTCTTGCCATATTTGCTTCAATTGATTATTACGAACAACTAGGCTAGGTCATCAACATTCCCTGGTAGATACAGTCGCCTTCCCATCATATCCCAGACGTGCTCGATGGGAGAGCTATCTGGCTGGACAAGGACGTGTCTGACAACCTGTAAGACAGCTCATAGGTCTGATCTTCTCATGATTGATAGCGATGAATTAGGCGTTGTGACAGCTGATCTTACAATCACTCTGTCCTTTCAATCTGTTGTGGCCCTAGGTCAATCACTACCATCATGACGCTGAAATCTGTCATTATCCACCCATTCTTGCCAGCATCTTCTAATCATCGTATCGCTTCGACTCATATGACGAGCGATTTTCCAATTTGCCTCTTTCAATCCAATAATATAACCTCTTTCAACTCTGATAGTTGTTCGTAATGAGCTCGAATCCTGCGGCGAGGCATTTTTTCATTCGTTGAAAGGAATCCTAAATCGCAATGCAAAATAAATTTGTAACAACAGTTCAATATCATCTCCTTATATATATCTGCTGGAAGCGCAGTTCCGATGCGTTCGAGATCGCAGTGTTTATTCATTGAACACCAAATTTTAATCATTTGCATATTTGGTAAAAACATTTATGCACACGACATTTCAAAGCAATCGGATGATTCCTTCTTGATGCGTAGATTTTTTTTTTTTTGTGTGTGTGTGTGTGTTATAGAGTGTGTTTCGCGCATATCCAAAAGATACTAATACTGGATCTGCTTCGACAGCTATTTGACACATGCACAAGAACGTATTAAGGCTGCGTCGTGGATACCCCTGTAAACTTGAGCGTTTTTTCCCTCTGCGGTC